TTTTTTTAGAAGAAAGAACGCCTGCTTTTGGTAGAATAACATTGGAAAAGCTGCACAGCTTCTTGATTTCTCAGTTCTTTCTGTAAAACAAGTTAAAAATTGATTGCTCGTGTTTTTTCAGAACTTCCTTAATTTTTCAAGAAAACGAATTATAGGAAAGTTGAGAATTTCTTGCTAGAAAAGAAATGTGAATTGTGCCATTTCCTAGGATCACCAGGATCAACTGGATAATCGCTATCAGAAGCAGTGCGCCACGGCTATTAGGAAGAGCCAGGTAGTCGAAGATTCGATTTTATCGGACTATAATGTATTTGTGTTCAGATTCAGTTGCGGCGACAGTTGACTTCTAGTTATTGAGGTGCAATTTATTTTTTAAGATTTATTCGAAGTTCGGGGGTTTGTAATCGTGATTTTGCAAACCTGATTGTCGTAGAGATCGAGATTGGTCAGCGTAGTAAGCATATGTAGATTTTCGATTTTTTTGATCAAATTCCATCGAAGGCAAAGATTCTTGAGGCAGCATAAGAAATCGAAACCTTCAATTTTTCGGATTCGACGGCGTGTCAAATCGAGTGTTTCGGTTTCCGCCGAAAGCTACAAAGCAAAATTTTTGCTAGCTTTCTGAGTTTTTGAATCCGAGTGGTTCTAAAAAAATAAAGTGTTGTTTTTCTTAAATTAGTCGTATTAAAACTATCCAGTCTTCTAAATTATTTTCCTACTTCTGATCAAATTCAGCATACTTTAAAAATAGTTATGCCAGATTTTTCAGTCCAGAACTTTTTTTTCGCGAAGCAGCTGTAACAGCTCGGAACAGCTGGAACTAGAATCTAAAATTTGAAAACCTGATATGGCTGCATCTGGCGTAAGATACGCTTGAAAACGCAGCGAATTAGTTTGTGGATAATGAAAAGATAGGAATAAAGAGCGCGAATCTCGAGTAGATCGCGCAATCAGCACAATGCCGTCAATTTGCCACAGGGAGCCAGTACGGGAGATGAAAGCGACAAATCATGCTGGGTTCAGGCAATACTGCAGAAGCGCAGCGGACGCAGTTGCAACTCCGGCCTCTGGAAAAGTATTCGAGAAAAGAGGGGAGAAGTGAGATGAAGTTTAATAATTTCACTGAAGAATTTAGACTGCGGGTATGAAAAAGGGACGAAAACCGTCTCACGACTAGAAACGTGGAATTCAGTGAATCCGCGCCCTGAAATACTCGTTAGTCGGGGAGTGGTTGTTCTACCGGCACAGGCCAAACCTTCAAGAGGAACAGAAGCTGCCACCGTGTTTGCGTTCGTCAGCGTATCGTTTCGTAAAGTAATGGAAAAAGAATTACTTCAATGTATTCGACGTCTTTTTCAGCCGATTCGCCGCCTTCTCCAGCACCATCCTGGCTGCCTTTCCCGATTTGTGTTTCGAAATCTGAAGGCGATTTCTCCGCTGGGTCAGACATAACCGCAAACTTGAACAGTATTTTAGCTACTAACAGTTGCACTATAGGTATTGTGCTATTTGTATGGCACAACACGTTATGCAAAACGTTAAGCATACTGGATGAAATTAGCAATGATTTGCATAATTTCGAGCATTCGGTACAGAAATTGAGGAATTTTTTCGTAATTTGCACAGTGTTACTGCAGTTTGCAAGCTGGTATTATGTGTAACGTCTACTAGCATGCCTGCGGGTAGACCGTTCTTGATGTCCCGGGAAATTTGCATATTTGTAGCATATAAATAGGTCGTAACTGGTCTGTATGCTATTTGTCAGTTTTGCAATTGTACGATGTGGCGTTGTCTTCCAGAAACAATCTGTTCAGCAAAAGTAACTGCGAAGAAAGCACAGGTTTTCATTCCGTTGTATCATCACCGATAGTACTGAAAGAGAGCAGCTCGTGTCGACAAGACGCTATCGTTCGAACACTTTCGAGTGCCTCTACTGATCCTGGTCGTGGTTCTTGTAACGGTAATTTGCTGGTGAACTATGTGGAAAAATGCTTCCATTATTCACTGCCATATCCAAACATCGTCAAAACGTTCTTTCAAAAATACGCCTGTAATTCGGGAGTTTTCAAAAATTAGTTTTTTTGTTCATTTTTATCTTATACTCCCCATAAATATCTTTAAATTCTCGATCGGTGTCAGTTGTAGGATTGATTGTTCCGACAGTCTTGAAATGCGCGGTATTTCTCCTAGTACCATAAAGTACTCTGTGTGTTCTTATCTGTCAGATTCGGTTGCATTGGGAATTTCTTCGTCAGTGATAGTTCACTTCCACCGAAGTGTGGCTTACTAATCCTGCACTACTTGCACGCCAAATCAAAGCCAGAGTGCATTTAATCTCTCTGAATGACGAAGACATTTGAAAATATTCCAAGTGCAGTAATAGCCACCAGCAATTACCGGCTGGCAGGACTCCCCATGGATCGCTGTTTCAATGATTGCGTCCTAGAAGTAGACTGACAGTGGGTTAGATTTCCTGACACATGCTACTACCAATTTACCACCGAAACAAGTGGACGAATCGTAGACGCGAACCATTCATTTTCAATACTCGTCAGTGCACCACGTCTGTCAGTGAAATGTCTAAATTTGCTTAGATTTATTACACATAAATTAATGCATAGCGCAAGCCCAGCAGGCTATTCTCCTGCAATACTTTGGTGCGATGCGGCATAGGCTGCGTGTGGATGAGTTACGGTAAACACGTGAAAGACGTACTTTCAGAAATTCACACGCAAAACAAATGAACGAAGTGAGTCAAGGCTGAATGAGGTTTTGTGCCAGACAACTGTTCAGTCTGCAGGTCACCAATGACCAGAAAACAAACGATGTTTTGGCATGTGACTATACAACAAGTACGAACCACATCAAAGGGACAAACACGAATAAAAAACTGCACGAATTTTTCAACAATGCGGACGACAAGAGGAAATATGTATGCAGAGCCAGTTTGTGCAAGGGGATGGGAGAGAGGATGAGGGGTTTTTT